TTTAAAATTAAAATATATGAAATGCCGACGTGGATTCAAAGTATATGTTCATGTCATTTTTTTACAAATTGAATTTTATACATCACACAATTCTGCTAAGAGGAATGCTAGGGGCACTCGCCTCCGCACTCTCCGGCCAACATTTTCACTTTTATTGGGCCACGTTATTCTGGTTAATAGGAGGTTGCACCGCAAAGCCTGGAACAAGCTTACGTGGTCCAATGAAAAAGGGAAGTGCTTGCGGGAGGGTGCAAAAGGCGAGTGCTCCTAGCACTGCTTATTTTGTTAATTGATTGTAACTTGTCCAAAATTTTGATAGAGAGATCAAAGTAGGATCGGATTTTAAAATTTTGAAACTAAAAAAAAAATTTTTCAGTACAGAGATAAAAAAAAACTTTTACCAATAGTAAAGGGATGCAAAAGGTGTTTAACCTTATTAGTTCCAACTAATTTGAATAAAAATACTGAACAATTGTGTTGACTCGACTTGCTTTTTTTATTATTGAAATTGACTAGCCTTGCATTTTTGGTCATGGTGGAGTGTGCGAGGGGTTAAGGCCGCATATAACCTGTGATTATTTTGAGTGATATTTTATTGGGTTATAATTTTTTAAATAATTAATTATGATATTTAAAAATATTAATTTATAAATTAATTTTAATTTAAAATTTATTAAAAAATATTAATTAATTTATTAGTTATTTATTATTTTTAATAAAAGATTTATGTTTGTTGAGGGATGAATTTGCATGGCTAATGACATGTGCAGATCCACATTAGTAAAGGCCCACAACACTTATCTTTCCACATCCGATGTGTAACTCCAACTTTCTATTGATTGTTACTGTGGAATCAGCATCGCCAGAAAAGGCACTTATTCACACTTCAACTGGAAACATCGCGAAATGTGGCTCACTCCAGCATCTATCCTCACATGCATGGCTAGACATGGTTAGATCTATTTCGGCAACATGGCTGGGTGTTTCTTGATAACCATGTCCTCCACAACGATGTTCTCTGTTGTATCTCATGGCTCCTTGCACTGGATAAAGAGCCTATCTTGTTACACGGCTTCCGTCAAAGGACAACGAGCTGATCTATATAGCTCCCAGTGATGGACAACGGGCCAATCATCCACTCCTACATATCTTTATCATTGGTTCCCATCAACGGACAATGGGCTAATCCTATTATATTTACACAGCTCCCAGCAATGGACAAAGGATCAGATTTACTACATATCCATCTCATTGGCTCTCGAAAACGGACAAAGAGTCAGCATAACTTGGTATGATTAGTGTGAGGCCAATAACGGTTGCAACCCTACAATCGGATGGGATGGCTACCAATGATAAAAATCCATCAAGTGGCGATCAACGGTCCCTTGGTGGTCGCCCGTGCATAGTGGTGCGGTGCTCAGCGGGTAACAACAACCAAGACCACCCTCTGACGGTATGGGTACGGCAAGAAGGGCTAGCGTTTGTCAGTGGTATCACACCTTGTTGTATCGGAGGCCATGAATGTAACTAGTGTCCCCCTTCCATGGAGACAACTCCAC